CACACACACACACACACACACACACACACACACACACAAACACTTATTCCTAAAGTCGTCAACCTAAGCCTATCTCATTTTACAGATAACTGTGGACTAGAGAAGTTGACCTGACCACAGTCACACAACTCAGCTTGCCAGAGCTTGAACAGAACTGATACTGGAATTAGGAAAGGCATCAACTGTCTGCCCAGTGCCCTCTGTACTTCCAGGAGAGTAGGGAGCTGTCATGAGCATTTGGAAAGTGGGCAGAGACCCAACACTCAATCACATGCTGCTGGAAACACTCCACGTGCCCCTTCTCGCTGATTTCTGCAAGTCAGCAATTTAGAGGTTTTCATCAAAATTAACAGCAGCTTTTCCACATAACTGCTTGAGCTTGCTCACAGTATGGTGGTCTTGGGCCAGTCAGCCTGCTCATAAGGTGAATGAAAATAGAAACTATTAGGCCCCTTAAAGATTAAACCAGAAACTGTCACATTGCACTCTTGCTGTATTACACTGATCAAAGCAAGCCCCTTGACCAGTTCAGGTTCAAGGGAAAGGAGAATGACCAATGGAGAGAAGGGATCAGAGGAAGCCATCTTTGCTGATCATCTACCATACTTGTCAGGGCCAACAGGAAGTAGAATTTGCCTTTCTACCCTCAGCACTATAAAACTCCAATAATCATTGGATGAACGAATTAACAGCATGATCTGGGGGTTAGTGATCTGCTAGCTATTGAGAAGAATCTGTTTCTTTTTTTCTTATGAGACAGGGTCTTGCTATGTAACTCAGGCTGGCCTTGAATTCACTACATAGCCATAGCTGGTCTCAAACTTGTATCCATCCTCCTCTCAGCCTCCTGTGTGCTGGGTTTATAGGCAATGCCACTAGGCCCAGCGAGAGTCAATTTTTAAAACTGGTATTTCAAGTGGAAAAAATGCAAAGAACTCTAATGGACCTGAAAGCACTACAGCTATTAAGCCGTTAGCCCAAATGTCATTAGCTGGCTTTTAGTCTGAATAATTCCCATGTTCTCATTCCCTTATTTCTTACCCTCTACAACATTTCTCATGAAGTGATCATTTGTTTTTCATATTTTGCTTTGATTTTCCTTGATCAAAAAATAAGATTTTCTTAGTTTCTTGTTTTTAAGTTCTCTTCCAGAAGTTAAAAAGCAGGAAAACAGGAACCTCCCCATGTGTCTAGTGGCCCACTCCACCACTCCATCAGGGACCTTTTTCTATTCAATGAGGCTACATCATGGCTTCAGAACACCTTTTTTTCTTTTTTCTTTTTTTTTTTTTAAAGCATTTTGAGTCTACTTGTTTTCACACGGTCTATACTTCAAGGCAGGAGCAGCCCAATTCAAATTACTGGCTCCTCAACCTCTACCTAGTATCCAGACTTAGTATGTGAATGTTATTCCAGAATTTATACCTATGAGACATTATATTCAGTGTACTCCTTCCTTTGAACAGATTTCATTTTCACTACTTGTCACTGATACCTTCATGATCTGTGCCAGGCTTGAGTACGGTGAATGACAGAGAAGCAGGGAGTTAATGACCATCTGTGATTGATTATGTGCCCTAGAGAGGAGAAAATGCAAGCTCTTCTGATGTTCCAAACAGCCTGTCCATGTGGTGCTTTAGTTCACAGGTTACTCAGGGCAGCATGTCATTCAAGGCTAGGTCTGGAGACAGCACTGCTTCAGTCCTAAAGCTGTACAATCTGAGCAGTCCAAGGCTACGGACGGGTGGGGCTTATAGGGCATGGAAGGTTCCACTGGGGACTGAAACCTGAACCTTCACACTGAGCCATATTCCAGCCCCTTTTTAAAATCTGAGACAACACTAAATCACTAAATTGCCAAGTTAAACCTGAACTTGCATCCTCTCAGCCTTCCAGAGTGCTGGGATTATAGGTATATGCCTTTTAATGGCTACTTTTAATGGCACTGAAAAAGTAAGAATAATAAGCTAAAAGGCCAGGGAGATAGCTTAAGTGCCTTCCTGGCAAGCAAAAGTTCCCAAGTTTGAGTCTTAGAAGAACTAAAAAAAGAGAATAATACACTAAAATCCTAAATTCTTCAAAGGGGGCCAGGGAGATAGCTCAATGGAATAAGTGCTTGCCTGGCAAGTACAAAGTCGCTGATACCACAAAAAAAAAAAAAAAAAAAAAAAAAAAAACAAACCTCAAAAATCTCGATTCAAGCCCGAGCCTGAAACCTAAAGACTTCCTACAACCATGTTGAATTTCATGCCTTAGAGATGCAAGTCCAAGATACCTGAAAACTTCAGCATTGGAGCCTCCATCTATTAAGTGAAAGTAACTGAATGTGCAGTCCCAAATTTCCCAGCGGAAATGTTGACTATTCACTGGCTAAGGTCATTGGCTAAGGTCAAGGCCCTGGGTACTGAGAGGGAAGTCATGGGAGCAAGGTGCAGGACTCACGCGTATGCCACGCACACCCTCGCACTTGCCTTTCCGCTGTGAAGCAGCCCTTTGCTGTCTGTGAGGGTCCTAACATTTCTTCCTTGGTTGCAGGGCAATTTTGCATGAGGAAGCCTGTTCTCCAGATGACCCTGAGTGTCGTGCTCTCAGATCAAAGCAGCGTATGCAGCCAAGGCCACCCAGACTCTGGACTCCCACAGCACCCCCAGTTCCCACTGCTTCCCTGCGGGCAGGCCCGGGAGTCCCTGTGCCAGGCCCAGGGCTCGTGCTCGTGTCCAGCAGTCACTGCTGCACCATCCTGTCCACACCTAACCCACCTTCTCCAGTAAGCCTTTCCTCCCTACTCAGAGGCACCTCTGAGGTTTTGTAGCACTTACTGTTTTAATGTGATAATGATTAAATACTACCTTGCGCAGGGGAAAGGACATGACTTAGAAACCCAAGTATCAGATGTCCACTCTACTGTTTGCTGTCCACCTGGTGTTACTTGAGCTGTCTGCATTGGCATCACCTTGTCTTTGAAGTGAGGATGAGGATGACATGTACTGTCTTTCTCACAAGGGCCTGAGGTCACATCTGCAACCTTCCCCTACCCCCCAACTGTATAACTCAACTCAGGCTTGGTGGTGTATGCCTGTAATCACAGCATTCTGGGAAGCTGAGGCAGGAGGATCACAAGTTTGAGTCTAACTGGGCAATTATTGACTTAGTGAGATCCTGGTTTAAAAAAAAAAAAAAAAAAAGGATTGAAGGTGTAGCTCAGTTCAAAGGTACTGGGTTCAATCCAAGAGAGGGAGTGAAGTTGGGGTGGTTGGACAAGGGGATGGAATGCAAGCAGACAGACAGGTTTCAGTCTGGCCAGAAAGGGAAACCATCGAAACAAACAGCCGAGCAAAACTTATGCTACAGTGTACAGACAATAAATACTACATGAGCTGTGAGTACTGTTGGGTCACACAAATTCCATAAGGCAGAAATCACTACAAAGCCTGAGTATTTAAGGGTCACTTTTAGAGTCAAGACGTGTTAGGGGGATGAGTGGAATTTAAATCACAGGGAGCATTCTAAACAGGAAGAGGGACAGGTAAAGATGCAATCTGACGTAGGCACCAAGCTTAGGCAAGAAAGAGCACAGCAGGCAGCCAGATGGGCTGGTAAGAAGGCAGAAGCAGACTGGGAAGCATCAGACTTCAGCTCAGCAGGGTTCTGGGAGGATCCTAGTACTCTGTTAAACTAAAACAAAGCAGCCTAAAAAGCAAAGATTCTGGCATTCAGCAGAACCTTGTGATCTCAAGCCCTGTCTCTGGCTCCACCCGGCTGCTCCCTTCCAAAGGACATCCTCACCCCAAACAGGAGGTTCTCCCTAGGGCTGATGCTTCACTCACTTCTGGGGGGTTGCAGGGTGGGGAGCCAAAAGCACTAATTACAAAGCAACCCGGTAAAATTCAAAAGAATGCATGCCAGCCAATTCCCAAGTTGCTCCAGGACAAAGCAGTGTACTGGCCAGGAGTGCTGCTGTGTTTTCAGTGCTCCAAAAGGCCCTGGAGGAACCAGAGGCATGGAGCACCAGCCCAGGACAGCCAAAGGCAGAGTCAGAGGGACTTTGTGTGCTCACCCTTAGTCCTGTACAGTCCCACCAGCTGCCCTGTCCAACATGCCTCCTTGCTAGTGACTGATTGGTTTAGGAATGGGGAATTAATCCCAGTTTGAACAATGACATGTGGCCTCAGCTGGCAAGGCCTCTGGGAAGGATTTCTTACTAAGAGACACAAAGACAAGCTCAGGTCTCCTGACAGAGCGGCAAACACACTGCTGAAACAGTACAGACAACTGGACATCAGAAGTCAGCCCGGCACAGCAGACACAGTAAGGGTAACAGCAAGAGAAAAGTACCAGGCTGCTCAGCACAAAGTTAAGTAACTGAGATGAGCAAACATAGCAATCCTCCCTGCTCTGGACTCCTGCATGAAGTCATCACATTTTCCTTTTGCTACCCTTGACAGTT